CATGGATGGACCTAGAGGGTATTATTATGCTTAGTGAGATGAGTCAGACAGAGAAAGACAAATACTCTGTGTTTTCATTTTTATGTGGAATCTAAAAAATAAAACAAATGAATAAATATAACAAAACAGAAAGAGAGTCACAGATATAGAGAACAAACTAGTGGTGACCAGTGGGGAGAGGAAAGCAGAGAGGGGTAAGAGAGGGGAAGAAGATTAAGAGGCACAAACTACTATGTAAAAAAGTAAATAAGCTACAAGGATATATTGCACTGCACAGGGAATAGAGCAAATACTTTATAATAACTTTAAATGAAATACAATCTATAAAAATATTGAACCACTATGTTGCATACCTGAAATGAATATAATATTGTAAATAAACTATACTTCAATTAAAAGAAGAGGGAGGATTGACTTATCATGTTAGTAAAATATTTTTTCATACACTGCCCACACCAGAAATGTTACTTCCCCCTCCCCTAGTTTTCTCTTTGTAAGTGAGCAAAATCTCAGTCCTTTTCCAGAGTACCTGGCAGAACTATTTTCTAAGGAGGTGTATTTCACCTGTAAAAATCTCTAGACCTAGGTTCTCTACCCACTCGCAGGACGAGCATGAGAGTCAAAGAAGGTAAATGCTAAACTCTAAAATGTAGTCAAACACTCAATAATCACCTATGATTATCCTACTTTGAGTCTAAATCATCTTACTTGGGGAGATTGGGTCTTCAAAAATATTTTCCTTCAAGAAAATTTGGCAGGAGTGTGGATAAAGTATATTTATAGCTCACAGCAGTGCTGTGTATTCTCTGGAAATGTCACCAACACACCGATCCCATCTCCAACACTGGGAAGAATTTCCCCAGAATGGCAGATGAGGAAGAGCTGGCTCACTTCTCGTGGAGCTGGCTTCAAAGGAATGGGATATCCAGCTGGATTTCCACGGAAGCGCCCCCAGAGATTAGGCTAACTTTGGCTAAGATTTAAGCCACAGCGCCAAGTGTGCTCCAGTAACTTTCGGGAGAAGTGGAGGTGGAAATGCAATTTAGGGGCAAGGGAGAATCTAAAGACTTGAGCCATCTGGACTGGGATTGCATACGCGTGTGAAGTAGCTATGCTGCCTTTCATGGAATTTGTGGGAAATCTCAAGATGTGCAATGAGTTATCTTGGGGTCTGCCTTGGAATCTGTTCAGGGGCCAAAATCAATCATATGTTCTCCATCGGCAAGGCACACGGACGACTGTAGCTCCTTGATGTGCACATCTCTGTCCACATGAACTGTAGCAGCTATTTTTCTAGTTAACCGTTTTTATAAGACTTTCCACGAGGCTGATACACACACACACACACACACACACACACATATACATGTATGTACATATATGTATAACTGTATCACTTTGCTGTATGCCTGAAACACAATATTGTAAATCAACTATACTTCAATTAAATAAATATATTCTGTTGCTAAAAAAGAAATATTGATTCCATTTTTAGATGAGAAAATTGAAGCTTAAAAATATTAAGTGATTAACACATCTTTACATGGTTAGGATTCAAACCTGGGCTATTTAATTAAGCCCCTCTATTTAACCTCTACTTCAAACTCTTTGCAATATTTTACTTAATATTATCAATCTTAAAAAGTGACTAAACTGATTACTTGAAGTATTACAAATGTACTGAAACTATGTGACAACAGAAAAGCAGCATAAATTGTTAATATACTTAATCTTGTTTCCAAGTTTTACATATTCACAAATATATGTGATTATCAATAATTATTGCAGACATCAGATAAAATAACTGTTAATGGCTTAAAATAGTTAACAAATGAATATATTGTCAACATCCTTCTCACAGGTTTTAGTTTATTTTCATATATAAAATGTTGTTTGGGCCACGGGAAACTGATAGGAACTTAAGCACTGCTGATTTGTCACTTGCACAGATGTTTGCCATTTGGCATATTATTAGATCTCTCTAAGCTTGTTTTCTTGACTGTAAAATGAGGACAGTATTGACCATGTTATGAAGATTAGATGAGATACTGTATAGAAGTGCTTTCCATCACTGTAGGTCTTTAATAAATATTAGGTATTATGGAAAAAAAATGATCTTGTCCAGATCTTGTGGTAGCTCACAGCAAAAAAAAAAGTGACAATCAATATATGTAGTTCATGTATAACTGAAAAATTGTGCTCTACACTGGAATTTGACACAACATTGTAAAATGACTACAACTCAATAAAAAAAATGTTTAAAAAAAGATCTTGTCCCTCTTTAATCTTGAAAGTAGACTAACTGTATCTTAATTATTAGTTAACCTAGCATCTTTGATGAAAATGCTAGTCTCACCACTGGGTCATTAGTTCCAATTCAATTAGGATTAAACCATCCATTTTTCGTTACATAATTCCAAAGAACTATGTGTTTTCCACTGGTAAGTAATTACGAGGAACTGAATTTTCCAACGAATTTTTATATCGTGGATGTCATGGTCAAAATGCATAATAGTATCTCCAGATAATCTCTACCTGTTTGAATCTTAAAAATGTTCTGTTAGATGTTGGATGGATGGGTGGATGGATGGTCAGCGTTCTTGGATGTGCAAAGCAAAACTATAATCCAGTTCACCTGGAACCCTTTGGAACTAGGCACTCTTACTTCTGTTCCGTGAGACTGATTACCCAGTTGCTTTTAGCCGGGAACACAGAGCAAATTTGGCAGCAGGAGCAGCAGGTCTTCAGCCTCAGCCTGCAGCAGAATCACCTGTATGGCTTGTTAAGACTGACGGCTGAGCCCCGCCCCCGGAGTGTCTGCTTCAGTCTGTCTGGGATGAGCAACTGTCAGCCACGTTCCCAGATTATGCTGATGCTGCTGGCTTCAGGACACAATTGGAGAATCCCTGGGATAGTGAATCTCAAAAATGAAGGCATACAAAAATCACCAATGGTGGTTTTAAAGCATGTGGCTTTTATCTCAAAATGAGGGCATACAAAATCACCGATGGTGGTTTTAAAGCATGTGGCTTTTTCGTAGCCATTCACACTCCTAACTCTGAAGCAGTAGTTCTGAGACGGGTTTAGGATTTTGTGCTTCTGAAGGGCTTGCAGGTGATTCTGAGCTGCTGGAAGGAATGGAGAGGGCTAGGCAAGGGGATGGAATCAAAGATGAACTTGGATATCGGAGCTGGGAGGAAGAAGCAGTGGGAGGGGCATAGACAGAGCGCGGTTGTGTTTTTCGTGAAAGAGAGTGATACACAACTCAGTGCCAGCTCACAGTGGTCTGGGAACACTAAAAATTTCTTAAATGGTTAAGACTCCTGACTTTTCCCCAAGACTCTCCATTCAAGGGCACACAAATCAGCCATCAGCTGAAAGAATCACATTATAAATGAGTAATAGGCATAGCATATGGAGGTGCTTATGAAAGTTATCGATCTTCGATTTGTGCAGTGCATCTGCAACTTATCAAAGCTCCTCTCTCAGTGACCAAACAAAATATCTGAAGCACAATTTACTCTCCACAAGGATGGGGCACATTATATAAAGTTCTCAGCAGCTTTTGCCACCCAGCTAAAGATGATTTTAAAAAAGAAAAAAAAAAAAAAAAAGGAAGGACTCGTACAAGTCCCCGGACAGCACTTAATGATCTGAGACTCAGATTTATTTTAAAGGATAAAATAATATACATTATCCCTCGGTCTGAGACTCTGTTTCCAGGCTACCAAAGCCTCACATAATCCTCCACGAAAGTTCCAACACACTTCAACCCAGTGTAAGAGTAATTGGGTGGGATGGGAGCAGGAGAAAATTGACATTTTTTCCTATAGAACCATGCACAGTTATTTCTTCAGCCAAATTGGACCTTAAACTGGGTATGAATATCTTAATTGCCAGACATCTGAAAAACCAAATAAAAAGTCTTGCTGTTATTACTGAATGATGGTCATTAAAGATGATGGTAAAAGGTATCTTTTTTCCCTTAAATATCCAATTATTTCTGTCTTTCTTGAAAAGGTTCCCACTTCTGAATTATTAGACTTTAGAATGCTTACCTCTAACAATACTATCACAAATGACAACGAGACAGGAAGGGGGCAGGGCACAGCCATTCAAGGAATGATAAAGCAATTAACACCGAAATGGTGGAAGATTCAACCCCCAGTAGGCCTTGAGGCTCAAGATGGTGGGAGATCTGACTTCTAGTAGACTTTGAGCTTCATTGTACGCTCACTGTAACATATTAACATGGTGAATAACACACCCACAAGTGCCAAGACAGTCCCAAGGCTAGCCACAAAAGGTCAAAGAGTGGGCAGTGGCCAACTCCCCGGGAATCCCAGCCCCTTCCCCCAGACTAGTTAGACTGGTCCTTCAACTTATTAACATATGAAGTTACTGAGCCCATAAAAATTGGCAACATGGTGCCTCGCAGCAGCCACTGCCTCTCTCTCTCCCCCTTTGGAGACGGCCCGTACTCTGTCTATGGAATATGTACCTACTTTTACTATAACCTGAACACCCAACCCCCACACCTCGTGGCCTTCCTCTCGCCTTTCAATGTATCTCTCTAAATACATCTACCTTTACTCAACAGTGGCTCGCTCTTGAATTCTTTCCTGCACGAAGCCAAGGACCCACACTTGGCGGGGCACGTCCCAGGGGCTCAACCGAAGCCTGGGACACAGCCATCCTCAAGCCCCACAACTGTTTTTCCTGCATCAACAACACTGCCCGAAGAACTTCTCTTTTTCTTTCTAAACCAAAACAGAATAAATTCCTGTGCCTTGAGGGCTGTTGTAATTCCCGTATCATTAGAGCAAACACCCCAGATTGGCTGCATCCATTAAGAAGGACAAATATTCTGTTCTCTTCTTTAAGCTATGTCTGCCCAACAATAAAACGTTGTTTTAAATAAAAAATACACACCCTTGATGCCTTAATGCCAGAGAACCACGTATATCCAGTTTCACTTCATCACCTTTTCAAAAAAGTTTCAGTTTTCAACTCATGACTGACTTTTTAATTCTTCATTCTAGCTTCTATAAAGGAAAGTTTAGCTGTTTTAAAGATAAAATTCAAATATACATATTTCAGCAATAGGGGGACAATATAGGGACATGAAGTGTTAATCCAAGGAAAAGAACATTTACTCATCCAGGGAAGTTACGAAGAATTAATATTATTCATTCTTATGAATAATCAGCATGAAATTGCTCCTTTTCCTTTTAAGCTTGCATATTCTTAACAACACACACGCTTTAAATGCTGGCATCCTGGCCAAATGAGCATTTTGGAAGACTTTAGATGCATAGATCGAATAGCTGTATAGTCTGTTTAAAAGGTCACCCTTTTAAATGAAAATGCAGCCAAAATCCTATGTATCTGATTTGCTTGAAAATAGTAACTCCTGACAAAAAGCATTATTGCTTTGCCATTAAAATGTAACTAGTAGATAGTGGGGAGTTTATTTTATTTTCAGTAAAAAAACAAACAAACAAAAGCTTATACCTTCTCAAGTGCTCATAAATTCTGGGGCACTGGCCAGGCCAACTTGTAAAAGTCATTTTAATCCCTCCTTTGCTCTGATCGTCTCCAGATTGCTCCTTCGACATCACACTTACCTTCTAAGTTGTGGCTTCTAGAGAAATCTTAAATTTGGTGAAAATATCAGGCTCATTTCTTAGAGCTTGTGTCACTGATCTCCAGAGTGCTACGTGTGACCATTTAAATCTTCAATTCAAATAAAAGCAGCAGTTATAGCTACCATCTTGAACTTGAAAAAAAAATTGCTTTTTGCACCAGCCTTATTTATTTCACTCTCTACTAAATGTTAAAAGAGGAGAGTCTAGTTACTTTCACATCACATCATAACTTTTCATTTCCTTACCCAAAGTGAGACTTGCAATTTCTCCAGAATCCTGATCTTTTTCATACTTAGTCATTAATTTCGGTGGCATAAACATGTGGCTTGGAATATGAACCAAATGGTCACTCCCACTGTCCCTCAACACAAAAGATGAGTCTCTTCCAGCACTTAATTCCTGACCAATGAAGCTGTTTTCTCCTGAAGAAACCTCACGATGCTCAGAAGAAAACCTAGAAGGTAAAGAGGAAAGTTTTAAGTGGATCTAAATAACTTTGTGGAATACAAATAAAATGTCTGAACAATTTAATATCGTTACTTAATCATTTGCTAAAAGAAGGACGATTAAGTTGTAAAAATCTAAATTTATTTCAATCAAATAATTCCTTCAGATTCGTTATACTACAAGGGAATTCTCCTACTCATAGATAGAAGAACGAATTCCTATCCTTCTCGAACTATTCCAAAAAATTCAGAGGACCAAACACTCCCAAATTCATTCTACAAGGCCTCCTGACACCAAAACCAGTCAGACACTACAAAAAAAGAAAAATATAAGCCATTATCTCTGGTGAATATAGATGTAAAAATCCACAACAGAATATTAGCAAACTGAATCAAACAGCATATAAAAGTATCACACACAGTGATCAACTTGGATTTATTCTAGGGATGCAAGAATGGTTCAACATCTGCAAATCAATCAGTGTGATACACCACATTCACAAAAGGAAGGACAAAGATCACGTGATCACTTCAATAGATGCATAAAAAGCATTTGACAAAATTCAACATCCATTCGTGACCAAAATCTCTGATCAAAGTGAGTATAGAGGGAACACATCTCAACCCAATAAAGACCATTTATGACAAATCCACAGCTAACATCATATACAATGGTGAAAAGGTCAACTGTTTTCTCATAAATTCAGGAACAGGACAAGGCTATCCACTCTCACCACTTGTATTTAACATAGTTTTGGAAGTCGTCGCCACAGCAATCAGACAAGCAAAAGAAATACAAGGGCCCCCAATGGGGAGGGAAGAAGTAAAACTGTCACTATTTGCATATGACATGAAACTAACACCTCCACACAAAAACCATTAGAACCAATAAATGAACTCAGTAAAGATTCAGGATACATGATTAATATACAGAAATCTGTTGTTTTTCTATAAACTAAAAATTAACTATCAGAAAGAGAAAGCAAGAAAACAATCCCATTGAAAATTACCAAAGCAATCTTGAGAAAAAAAAGCTGGAGAGACACCATCCTGGATTTCAAACTATACTGCAAAACTACAGTAATCAAAACAAAGTGGTACTAGCACAAAAACAGAAAAACAGCTCAATGGAA